TATTAAATCTGAATCTGGTGAAAATCTAATGTGTATAAGCTATGTCTCACAACAAATAAAATCTGATGAAAAAAATAGAAAACTATATACGATTTTCATCAGATTTTTTGTCATATTTTCAAACACAATACGGCACAAACTAAATTTTTCTAAAATTTTGGCTCGATCAGGTATAGTTAGTAAAATATTTAAACATTATCTGCCAAATGTTTGACATTAACCCTTTGTTGACTGACTCTACCCTCAAGTATCGCCAACTTTCAATCGTTTAAAAATCGTAAATGTTCATTAAAATTCAGTTTTAACTATGATGATACTTCATTATTTCGCATATTTGATCGAGGTTTGTGTCATTTATTTTTGCAGTCGTATTGAGTATCTAAGTGCAACCGGTCAATGTTGTAAAGCAAGAAAAAAGTCGAAGTCGATTTTGTTAATTTTTTTGGTGTTTGTCTGATTCACATAACTTAAAGTTTTATGTATTTTGTTTTTATTATTTTTAAGAAAAAATGTAAAAAAAATTTGTTTACAAATAAAGAATATACTTTCACTTATACTTTTGATTATAGTCGTAGAAAACTGAACAATACTTATAAATATCGGGTCCCTAAACTCTTATACAACCGAATCCCAAAAAATGTTGTTTTTCAAGAAGATACAGCAATTTAGCAACAGATTTCGTATATTTCTATTCTCCGGCAACAAAGGGGTAAGGTATAAAATAAATTTGGTGTGTAAAGCCTAATCAGTTGGTCTTTAGCAATTATGGTAAACACTTCAATCTAAATATACGAACAATTGTACAAACATACGTGTATGTTTTACATTCATATACACAAATCAATTTTCATATGAATTTGGCTTGGCTATGTGTTTCAATTGGTACTTGTTGTACCAATGTTTATTTACATTTGCGTGCGCGTTACTGAAAAGAGAAATTATGAAGTGCATTTTAAACCGTTAAAAGAAAAAAAATCTATTTTTATTGTCAAAAATTTATTTTTTAACTTAATTTTTCATGTATGTTTTCCGATTTTAACTTTATTTAAAATTGATGTAAACGGGTTTGCATAATATTTAAGGTTTTATGTTAGAAATCTCAAGAGTTTTTACTTAATTGAAGTGCTAAAGTGTTTTCTTATAAAAAATACTTTTGCAATTTCAATTGATAAGCAGTTTGTAGTACAATCAAAGATATTTTAAGATTTATTCTATATATTAAATAACAGTTTAAAAAAACTTTATCTTTTAAAGAATATAAACTTTAAAGAAGATTTCAATACAGATAATGGATAATTTGCACTATATTTATTTGAAACAATCTACTGTAATCAGCACATAACCGACCCCAAATTATATATTCAGGTTTTGACAAAAGGGTTGCAATTGTTTGAAAAGTAGTACTTTTACTGCATTTTTGTGAAATTATTGCCTTTTATAACTTGCTTTTATTGAACATAAAAATGTAATGCATACACATAGAATGAGGAAAGAAAAAAATTTAATGAAACATTATCATGATAGTTGAATTTAACGGTTGAATAAGTAAGTTAAGAAAAATAATTATAATTTTTAATGGTAAAACATTTACCGGTACATCTTTGCTGTTGTTTAAATTCAAAAAAGCTTGCAGTTTCAGAAATAAGTGGCACTAAAAAATTCAAATTTTACGAATTTCGTGAGGCGATATTTTTACACATTATCCCTTAATAAACCAAAAGCACTTAAATGAACCGAAGCTTTACATATAATCTTATCCTTATATTATTTCTTATTACTACATACCTTTGAGAGAATGAAAATTTTAGAAAGCATGAAAATGGTGTGACAATACTACTAATTATATTGTAGTTGACATATAAAGTAATTTACAGCAAGATATTTACATTTGTTTTTTTTTTCCGTAGGGATTCATTTCAACAGCCATTTTATCATTGTGATTTGTCTATGCCATTTCACAGTCGCTAAAGATATCGCATTCGCAAAATTAAAAAAATTCGTTATTTTGTTACTTAATATTTCAATACAAAGAATTTAATAAAAACTACTGAATTTTGATGAGAGTTCGTCTCGAAGACAAGTTTCGATGACAGAGATTCTTCTGCCATAAAATTGACTTTCATGAAACCGTCATACTTCTAAGGGTAATTGCACCTGTCATGAAAAAAACATTTATCGATATGTAAAAGCTCGTCTTTAACAGGGCAGTACTATATTTCTATATAACATGCAGTAGAATGTAGGACAGCATTTTGCTGTAAGGTATTTTAATAATCATTTTATTAGCAATTTACTTTGTTATTTTTGATATGCACATCAACAGTTTTACTTATAAATTGACAGAGACATGCTGCAAATTAAAACTTAATTAATATTTTTTAAATGTTAATATTTCACTCAATATGTTGGCTGGCGGTAACAGTAATACCAATTTTAGGGTATTATTCTTAAACTTCAAAAAAAGAAAACAAAATGGAAAATAAAAGACAAGAGGATCAATTTCAACGAAATTTGCAAATTCGACTTGTTATAGCAGTAAAACCATTATTTCTATTAAAATCATCATAAATTATCATCAATACGAAAAATAAATTAAGAAAAAAAGAAAATTTGAAAAGGAAAATTAACACCCAATTTTTTTGTATATTGAGATGAAAATTACTTTTTTTTTATTATTAAGACATCGGAATATCAAAACAACATCTAAATGAAAATCGCGATACGACAAATGAAAATTAAAGTACAACTCAATATACTCAACCATGACTTAAAATTTTTCATTTTAAATATCATTGAGTGTCAATTTACCAAGCCTTTTTTTACAACAGAAAACTGAAATTTTAGTATATAAAAACAACGCAACAATAACTTTGTGCTAGGACTAACGTAGTTAGAAAACTTTTAATTATTATTTCATACACATTTAAATTGTGGTCTTTGATATGATTGACTAAATCATAAATTTAATAATTTTTTATAATTCTCGCTCGTTCTCTCTAAAACATTACTATAAAATTTATAAAAACCTTTTAACCTAGAGTAGAGGAAATATGTATTTTCGAAAATTTTAAAACCTAAAATAAAAATTTCGAATTGAATCTATTCCGACGGATGTAGAAGAAACACTACGTAATTTTATAGTTTTGTCTATCATAATTTTAACTATAAGGTAAAGAAAGTAAGATCTACCGCCAATATAAAGTAGTTTAACACCAATCGAGTGAGAGTAAAGTCATTCGCAGTTGGAAATATAGAAGTGTATTTCACTGAAACTTTCCAGTTATTCAGAAATAAAAATAAATAGGGATCCGCCACAAGCAAGCCACAGAAAATGCAACGAGAAACACTAAAGGTCCTCAGTCCCACAACAAGAAGAAAAAGTGTGAGTTGTTGTTAACTTTTTGGAAATTTTATAAATTTCGAATACTTTCGAATTATTTACTTATAATTTTCAAGTCTAATTATTGATTTGGTATGTGTCTATTAATAAATTTATTTAAAAACAAAATGTACTTAAAATTTTTGGTTTTAGATTTTCTTCTAAATATTTTGCTTTTCAAACTGTAAGCCTTTCAATTTTCATTTCGGTTCACTTTAACATTTTTTTTTTCTTTTTTTTTGTAATTTATTCTCTGTCATTACCACCCATTGGTAATTGGACTTTTATTGAAATTTATAACTTACGAATATTTGATTGGAGTGCTTGTAATTCTTTAGTTTATATCTCATAAGATTACTCTATTCACAAGTAAGCAATTTAAGTAATGAAAAATACTATGCAATCGTGTATATATACATATATACAATGTTAAACGGCAAGCGATTAGTCATAATGCAGCGGTATATTGCAGTTTGGAAAAGGTAATGAATAAAGTTCGTATTTTGTGTGTATATGTAGGTACATATGTATGTAGTATAATATGCACCAGCACACAATTTATAACTTCTATTGAATATTTTATTATTTATTACGATATTTATTATTTATTTCGATTTTTATGTGTTTACATGTAAAATAAAATTTTTAAGTGAGATTAATTTTAAAAGATGACCTAGATAAATCTAATAATGAAAGCTAAAATTACTTAATTTAAGCTCAAAATGACTTGATTTTTTGTGTACCTAAAACAAAAGCACGTTTTACCATTCATATAAAACATAATCTTAAGGAAGTTACAGAATTTTTTGATCCTGAAATTTACTAAGAATTTTTTTTCGAAAAACATTACTCTGTGGTGAGAAACTGCAATTTACAAAATATTTTGAATTCGAATATGAATTTGTACATGTACGCATGTATATAATTTAGGTTCATGTAAAAACACTATATTAACTAGTCTTTATGCTCTATAGCATTGTACCTGAACGATGTTTTTACATTTTTTAGCGTATCTAGATGTTGCATCATTCAAGAATGCTTTATTGCAAATACATGTGCTGCACTGCAAATCTATTCGAGAAAACTTTTCCATTTCGGGCAAATTAAACGATTAATGTGAAAGTTTTGATTTCGAGTTCATACGAAGAATATACGATGTCTGCCGGTTAAATGCACTGACAATTTTTGAAATGCAATTTGAAGATTCAATAAAGTTGAGTTCTTATTTTACCCAAACATTTTTCATTCCTTTGTTAAAACCATACGTATTGTTTTTTAACATTTAAATAAAATTTGACCTTTAACAAATTAAAAATATTTTAAGTCCAATTTTGTATCTGTATTGAAACGTTACTCACTATATACAAAGCCTTTTAAAATGAATGAGATCTACTTTTGAAACCAAAATTCAGTAAAAAGAAATCAGAAAAAAAGACTACGTTTGAAATTTTTTTGTGAGTTTTGCATTTGCAATCATTTAATTTTTTAATTAGTTTTATTTAAATTAAAAATGAAATTAATTATTAAATTTTCTTAAATTTTTTTTTAATAAAAAAAGTAAAATTTTCTATTGTAGTCGTTTTAGAAGCTAATCTTATAATATATTTTATATTTAATGTAGGAGGATTTACTTATACATGGTGATTCAGTTTACGATATCATTGACAAACAGGATCATGGACCTATTCAAGCTGAATTAAATCGTAATGTTCCACAGCCACCTGGTCAACATCATAGCCAACATAATTCCATATCAAATCTTGAAGGTGAACGTAGAATGTTTTTATGCCGAATGAATGTTAGTCGAAATGCAAGACGTCAAATGAGATTTGGTGATCAAAAGGTAAATTTAACAATAAAACAAAGTATATACAGTACAGAACAATGAAAAATCTCAAAATATCACGGTGATCTCGAAATAGTTTTTAAGTCTAAAAATAATTTGAGGAATTGAAGTCCACATTACTACGACGTCTTAAAATGTAATACAAACATATTTTGTTTAAAAACCGCAGTCCTGCTATAAAAAATGTATTAAAGCAAATTTCATCTGAGTGTGAAAACTTTCTACAAACACTGAAGAATAGGTTTACTTACTTGATATAACACATGAAGCTGCCAATTAATATGTTTTATCTGTCTTGAATTCTAAACAAGAACATTGATGCAATTCAACATTAAAAGGACTTTTCTTGAAATCAGAACTTAAGAAATGAATTTGAATTAGAATTCTATCTTTGGTTAAGATTTAACTAATTTTTTAATCAGCATAAAGTTAGTTTGAGAAAGCATAATTTAATTAAAAAACTTATTCAATTGAAAATTTAATTTTTTGCTCTTAGAACATTACTGATTTAATATTCGTGTGTATCCAACAACAATTCTAAAAATGAACAACGTGAAAAAGAAATGAAATGAAATGAAATGAAAAATCGCTGATTTTTATCGCAAATTAAACGCTTCAGCAATCTTTTTTTTTTAAACTGTTATAATATAGTGAGGCGGTATCTATTAAGTACATCACAATATATGTATATGTAACTTACAACCTACATACGTAGAACAACACTGTATGTGTGAAAATCATAACAAAATGATTAAATTTTTAAGATAATGTCATCAGTAGGTAACTTTTTAACTACGTGTGTATGATCTGTAAGACAGGAAACATTACAATCTAAGCAATAAGGCTGTCAAATTGAATGCAATGATGTTTTTGTTTAGAATTTCAGTAACAGTAGCAATATCACCGATACTTGTAACGTATTTCGGAAAGAACAGCAAGAAAAGAAAAGTAAACAAAATTTATACGAATATAGGATACATGTTAAACCATATTTAGTATGCTGCAGACACAGCATCTATAATAACACTTTGAAATAAGTAAGTGTAGGTGGACAGATTTTTTTTTCCTTTAGTTATTTCTTTTTCATACAGTTTTTAAAGAGTTATGATTTTCTATTTGTGCTCAGTTTTTATTGTTTTTATTCGCATGTGTTTTTATAGGGACGATTTTTTTAATGCCATATATTTATTTGCTTAGAAGTTACTAAGTCAATTTTAGAGTAAGAAATAAGGTTGTAAGTTAATTATAGTCCAATGTAGGCATAATACTGCATTTATATTGTATACAAATGTACGTGCAACGATACCAAGCCAATTCTTTGTATATATACAGATGACAAACAAATAGATGAAGAACAAAAATAGTAGCACATTTTAATGGTTGTTTGTCAGGTTACAAATGATGGCTTATTCGATTGATATTATTTTTCGGCATAAGATAATCTCTCAATTATATTTTCATGCCTACCCAAATTTTAATATGATGTGTGACAAAAATGAATTGAATTAAAAAATGTTGTTTTTTTTTAAAGCAAAATAACTATAATTTATATAACACTCTTGGATATCTACATTAAAATACACTACGAAAATCAAGTGCTTCACACAACTCGTTCTTGCATTGTATATGAAAAATTTAGAAAATTTCACTTATTTAATCTATTTAAATTTGTTACTTATATAAAAAACAAAAATCAAAATGTTGAAAGAGATACTTTAAATAGATTTTTTTTAGATTCGACTTTGACTATAATTCAATTTTGCTAAAATATAGACTGAAATAATGCATGTTCGGCAATAGCTTTTAAATAAATTTAATGTTTCTGTATTTAAATGCAAAAACTGCTCATAAAATATTTATATATGTAAGTATAAAATTACTGGACTTTATTTCAATTGCATTTAAAATGAGAAATGATATTGTAATTTATGCATATTCACAATAAAGTGCTTCAGTCAATTTTTACTCAGTTTGGTAAAATATTTGTGACAGCTGCATATTTTCGCATTTAAACAAAAATATGGAGAAAAGATATGTAGTTAAGTATTATGCATGCTGCAGGAAAAAAAAAATACAGAAAAGCTTGATTTCCATTTGATCTTTATATTCAAATACATGCATTTATTTTAAACTTCCTTGCTGCAAGTGGCACCTAAAAGCTCTCAAAACAGCAATGTTGAATGTAATGACTTTATACTGTTGCTCATTAGCTTGTCAATTCATAATAGAATTAAGTGAGTATTTTCGGTCATTTCAAATATTTTGTTTGATTTTTAAAACATTTTTCCAAGTGTTACAACACATGATTTTTCGATTGATAGGAACTTACTGGCGTATTTTAAAATTGCAAATTGTAAAAACTTTAATAATTTCTAAAATTTTTCAAAAATTAAAAAAACTTTGTTATTAAAATTTTAAGTTGAAAAATTTAGTTTTTAAACTTAACTTTTAGAACCTTATAAAGTCAGCGTCTCTAGCATCCCAAACGATAAAACGATGATAAAATCACAAAATATTTAAAAATTTTAAACATAAACCAAAAAAAATTTCTATTGAACCAAGAAGTTTCTGTATTTTATTCTAATTTCATAATATTTATTATAAAATGGACGATAGTCTATGTATTCAACTATTTCTTATCACCCTAACATAAGTTCATTGTTCAACTGCTCTAGTTGTAATAATGTCTTTAATTAACCTTTTCTAACGATGTTCAATTTAGTGTATACTGAGAAAAATTTTATCTATAAAATAAAAAGAACAGACCAAATTATATCCGAAATCATCATGACAACTACACTTTATAGATAATTTTTACATTAAATACGTTTTATACCTACCCCTTTATTTTAATTCTGAATATAATTTCAAATAGTTTCAGAATTATACCTTTTCAAATAATAATTTCTGAGCCGTTTATGAAAATAAAATAAATTTCTGAATGAGCTAAAATAAATTTGTACATATATATTTTTTAGCCAAATTCAAAAATTTTTGGAGGAACTAAGAAATATTTATAGCAGATTACAAATAAATTGTTTCTTATTTGGTAATGTTTTTATTTATACCAATAAACTTGTGGCCATCAAAATATTTTAACCGACCGCATTGTGTATAAGGTAGGTTATGTGATTCGTAAAAAATTCCACGTCGATGTGGAACATTTTTTTATTTCCTTATTTTCTTAACTATAAAGCAAGGAACAGTTTTCTACATTTTAATAAAAATTTATGAGTTAAAAAATTAAAAATGTTTCATGAGCATTTAAACGTATATTATAGCAGCCTTTAACTAAATCATCTATTAAGGTTAATAAATCTTTAATTAAAGGATTAAGATTTTCGAAAAGCAAATTCTAATTTTAAAGTAAAATTAATACTACAAACTACATCATACTAAATCGATAATCAGTAAGTTAAACCGACAAAAATATTTGTCAATTCTGAGCTCTTTAGAGCGAATTAAATCATTTAAAACTGTCAACTACAAAATACCAAATCCGCAATGTGACATAAATAACTAAAATAGATTTTTATACTTACAAAAAGAACTTATTTTCATTTATTATAAATTGTTTTTTTATTATGCGCAATGCAACGATTGTTAATTTATATGCAATAAGTTAGTGACGAATATTAAGCAACTAAATTGGCTTTCACAAAAAGCATCCACAGAAAGACAAGCTAATAAAAATCAAAATTTAAATAACTTAGTGAGTGACCTCATTGCTTTGTATAAAGTCAAAAAACTACAGAAATTCAATATATGAAACAAAAATAAAATGCATGTTCTAACAAGTAGATTCAACCTCTTTTAGAATATTTCATGACTTACAAAGAAAGAAAAAAATATATAAAAGTGCATAAGTTCAGTTTGCTTTTAACGTAAAGTTTAAGAATATTAATTGAATTTTAAACTTAATTTGAATTTTGTTTAAAATAAACTTAATTGCATAAGCGTCTTATGACTTGAGGACGGTCTGCTCATCTTATACATATAGTGGTCTCAATTAAAAAATTTATGTACACTCAATTTGTAATACTTAATTTTAATTAAGTTTATAGAAAAATTAAATGCTTTAAAATCTTTCAACTCCTTATTCAACAGCGTTCAACATTTACGTCTCTATATCGCAATTTCAACATATTTACTTTTGACTTTATTATTTTTCCTCCTTATCAAAAATTTAAGGATAAATTCAGGCTTTTTCGTTGTTAAAAGAAAAATATATCTTTTTCTTTAAACTTGTTAAAAAACCTAGGAAACTAGGAATGTAATTTTTAAAGGAACTTTTTGTTGCCTTGTTTACACAAAGCGTTTTGGAAATATATAATTGTTTTTCTCAATACCAATATACCACTGTTATATAACATCTCGTGAAATATTTCATAAGATACCATTCACATTTAATTTTTAATGTCATTAAATGCGCGTGACTCTCAAATATGGTGAGAGATGGCAACTGAAGATTTAAAATAAACTTAATCTATAAATGTTATATAATGAATTCATCAATTTAGTCTTAAAATTAATCTGCACAAATAAGAATTAAAAATTTTAAATACAAAATGGCCAAAAAATTAAGTTCAATGAAAAAAAAAATTATTTCTAATAGCAGCTCAATGAGTTTTCTCATGTTTTGTTTTACTTTTTCCTCTAAATAAAATTAAAAACCAATCATGAAAAAATAACGCAATTGCATTAATTAAGCGCCATTTTTTAACTAAAAGAATTGATGGTTCCCACCTTTTATTTTATTTATTACAAAAGATTAAAATTTGAAAAAAAAATTCACTCAATTCTTTTTTATTTCATAATGATTAATGACCAAATTTTGAAGAAAGAAAGTACCATTTAATAGGCAGTTAATCAGAAACGCTACGTATTTAAAAAGAATAAAAGGAAAGTTTTTTCGCGATTGCTAATTATTTTTAGCATTTTTCTAAAAAATTAAAAAAAAAAATACTTATTCAAGTGCTTAAAAATTAAAAGTGCTC